AGTTCCTAATCAGTATTTGATGAAGAGAGAGAATACCCGCATCTCAAACAATCAAACCCAAATGCCAATTATGACCCGGAACAACATCCATCTCTGGCTTTTCGATAGAAGAGGCAGCATTGCCGGTCTTTCCATCAGCAAGTTTTAAAAACCGAGTGGAGCTACTTGTCTTTGCCGGTGTAGCTTCTTACCGGAGGTTGGTCAGTAGCTAAATTAGCTGTCTCATCGAGAAGAGTGGGTCTGTTAGCAGCAAGTACTGGTTGTGATTAGACCCCACCATGCCTGCCTTAGACAAAGCAACGAATGACGCTCTGGTCGGTCGTTTGCTTCACTGGAGGTGGTTTAATTAAGCTTTTAGACAGGTGAGGCGACGTATCTTCATCAAGCAGCACCTGAATAGAATAAAATACGATTCGGCACCTTCGCGTCTATTCAAGACGAAAAACAATTTTCCTTAATATTTTTGACCAATACTCCGCCTAGAGTTCTGCATTTTCGCCTTCGGAATATTTGCTGCAATGCCCTTTTCTCTCTATCGTTCTGCTACAGAACTACGATACCACGCACAAAGAAAACTACGCAATCATCAAAGACCGTCCTTCTAAGAAATTTAGAAGAGAATAGCGGATATTGATATGACCCCGACATATCAAACGTTTTCTCAGGTGAACGGTAACATTATTTGAAGCTGTGAAGCACTCTAATATTTAGTAAATAATTAGCATATAATTCTCGTCCTGGTTGTGGATTGGTTATAATCATGCTAGAAATTACCATCTTGCAATATTCAAGAGAAGAACGCCCGACAGGCCATGCTGTCGTCCGTGGACTTGTCTGATTCCAATCGCTCATCTCATCCACCATCTCATCAAATCTCAGACTCTGAATTACACTCTAGTGCTAAGAAAATGCACTACACAGCGCCGCCTCCACGGTCTTCTAGTACGTCTTTACCGACATAATTCCCCATAAAATATCATTTCTAATCTTACTTATCAACGCAGCTGGCCGGACGAAAACTGAGCAAGTTGTGCTCGAATTTCTGTACAAAGCGGCAGAGTTAATTGTTCAAAGTCGCGTGAACTTCCACACCGAACCAGATTTACGTCGTGGCAGTCGTCGAGCTCGATTTAATCTCGATATTGAGGAGGTCCAAGTCGTTCGAGATGCTATGACTGCTTGGAAGAAAGATGTCACTTTACCGCTAGCTATTGATATATTCTGGGATGCAGGTAGTCATAAAGTTTTGCTTGAGCGCTGGAGTGTCACTTTTGCAGTAGATGAAGAGAGTTCAACTGCTCATATGAGCTCGACACATGATGTGATTCAGCAATTAAAAGAGGTGTGCAAGAGAATCAGTGTTTTGCTACGTGCGCTCTTTTCATTCATGCGACAGCTTCCAGCGCACCGTCTTTTCACACAATCCTATCCTTCCATGCTCAGCTACACAATGCACGCTACACCAACAAGTGAAGCAATGCGCGTTGCGTTTGAAACGCAGCATGTTGCTACAAGCGGATACTCATTCATTCCTATTGTGACTCCATTCGGGGTGTTGAAAGTAGCTGCAGTCTATCGACGTGATTGTGATCAATTTACACAGAAACAAGGACTCGTGGCACCGTCACGAATTTTGCAAGATAACTTTATCATACAGGATTACGTACCTGAATTTCCAGACTTAGCGTCTGCGAGCGCACCTGTCACGAGCGCAGCGATGAAGAATCCACCCTTGCGAAATATGAATTCGCACACTGGCTCGTTTGTACCAGTGAGTGATGCAGAGATACTGAGTGAGGATATCAAAACTCAGCATCGTCGATCATCTCCTCTCTCAATTCCAGCGTCCGCACAGCAGCAATCGAGCACAGATGATTCAAATGACAGCCAAAGAGACGATGAGTTGCAAACACAAATAGGAATGTCAAAGCCGATGGCTATCCCTCGTGTGAGTAGTAAAGGCGGTATCGCTGTTGCTGCTAATCGAGATATGGATGCAGTCATTAAGCATGCACATTCTTATGGAGGTGAAAACGAACTACGTCTTCGAAATTCCGTCACAAATCCGAATGTGGCAGCAGCACCGTATGGATACGGAAATGTCACGATCGAACGAGACCATGAACGCTCATCGTCACCTTCTCTTGCATTTCAGCACCGACAACAACTACTATGGGAGGGACATGGTGATCGTCATGATAATGCGACCGAACTACATTCATCTCAGCGATCATCTGATGATGGTATCCATCTTGACACAAGCACAAGTACTGCAGCCTATCATTGTATGCCGACGCCACCTCGTCATCCGAAGACAGTCGCGTCACTTAGACATAACTCTCCAGCACTCATGCGTAAATTGTCTTCTGAGCACAACCCTGCCACAGGATCGTTCGAACGATTTTCCCTTGATAGTGGTTCGTCCCCGCAACTACAGCAGCAAAGTGTTCCACGTCGAAAAACGTCGTTTAGTGGTGCATTTATCTCGGATAGCTTTGAATCCATTTCCTTTACAACCCTTGCAGGGGGAATTGAGCGTTCTCAACAATCAGAAAACAATAAATCTGCAACGATAGCCGCTACAGAGGCGACAGCGATTTCAATGAATTTACGGACAATGCCCCATGCACCTGCGGAAAATTTAACCGCTGTAACGGTAAGCCCGCCATTTCAAGCAAATCCTAGTGAATTACTGTCCGTTTCTCCGGGTTATGTGTATACCAAGAGTCAGCTACGTTCCAACTCGAGTAATTTGCCGACATTTGTCACGACAGATCGATTTCAGCGGGCTGTATACGATAAAAAGAATTCATCACCCGCAAGAATAGTTGCTATAGAACACCGCAATTTTTCGCCTGACTTTGGAAACAGTGGTGTCACCACGTGGGGATTTTCACCAGATACTCCTGATTCCTTCGGTTTTGCGCTCTCAAGTGATAGCAGTTCGTCTGTTCGTCCGTCGTTTTCGCATGGTAGCGCTGATGAAATAGAAGATCAACATGGTGATTTGGATCCCTTAAATCTGCCTTTTGTGATCAGTGATGGGTTATCAAGCGCTACTACGACCGTCGATTCAGTCTCAACAGAACATGGTAGCACATTGAGCCCGTCGTTGAATACTGCATCGGTTGGAAACTTTCTTCATCAATTGAAGAACGCACCGCGCTTAAGCAAGTCTTTGTCTACACTCGCACCACTCAATTCACCAGGAAAAACAGGGAAAGTCTTTGACACAAAGCATGAAGCTGCACTGGCCTCTATGTTTGACGATGAATTAGCAAATTATCGTAATTTGCGCGATGAGTTAGCGCGATTGCTTTAGATTGTCATTTTACAAGAAAAAGCTGAATGGATCTCTTTCACTTTTATTTCACAACCAAGCAAAGCTATCGTTAATAGTTACAAGGCTCTCAACTTGGTCGTTTTTGATAGTTTACACACGCGATGCTTCAATCTAGTGAGACATAATGTTGTCATATCTTTCCTCTTTGGTATGATTTGATTTTCCTTGTAGTCTTCTACAAATATAAGTCCGCAACTACAGATATTAATGCTCTAACTCTAAAGATTTGTAACAATTTACTGCTCGCTGACATGAAAGTGAGTGCTTTGGAGCTTTGCGAAAAATTTTGTGAATTTGTAAGGTTTATCGAGAATTTCTGACTTTCGATGTAACACATATGACACATTTGTGCAATTGTACAAAACATAATGTAAATTTGTAAATGCAGTGTAAACAGCTTTTATCATCGAATACAGTAATCAGTATTAGTTTGATTATCCAAATATGTCACTTTCGATATGAAGACTAAAACTTCACTCCCAATATACGCTTGCTTTGATAAGTACAGCTGTAGATTAGATATTGCGCGGATGTCGCTTCAATGCACCAACGGTGAGATTGATGCTGTCAGTGTAAAGTTGGCTCGCCTTCGTGTCGACAATTTTCAGTTGAAGATGCTTTGTGTTATCTCATCATGGCTCAACCTACCCGGCCTTGACTAAATATTAAACATTGCTGCATTCCACTGAATTTATACCTGGTGTTCCTTTTACGAGTTGCCATCCCGAAGTCGGCTATAGACTGAACTCGATTGTTCGGTATCGGGCTCGAATCCACATTACAAATAGTAAGAACCAGAAGTTTAGAATACCATCAAAGCGATCCTTGTTTACTCGGTATGTGAGGCTGCCGCTTGCCTAAACTAGGTCGTGATATCGCGCGCAGCACATGCTTCAGTAGGTTTGGAAGCCTCTTAGTCGCTTGCAAAGTAATTTACCTGCATTCAAAAGGGCGCAGAAAAAGTTGCTCTTGCCAATTATCGAACCAGCGACCATTAGGGCATCGCTTAGTGCATGACCACAGCTACAGGCGGAATCTCAGGACAGCTTCATCGAGCTCAAATTTCTTCCGAATTAACTATGTGCATATACCGGTCACCAGGGTGCATGCAGCCTGGCCAAACTCATATAGCTCGTGGATTTGGTTTGAGCGGGGCTTCTGATTTTATGATGTGAAAACACATTAATCGGTGGAAGAAACCTAGAACTTAAAAACTATAGATTATCGAAAAGACCAAAACCAGTGTCGTTTTTCACCTGAATATCACTTCTTCGTGGCTTGTGACCTGCATTGCAAAGCAATGACGTCCCATATTTTCCAAAGTTTCGATGAGAAAGTGTTGAAAAGACCAAAACCTGTGTCATTTTTCACCTGACTATCACTTCTTCGTGGCTTTCTGACCTGCACTTCAACGCAATAATGTCCCATATTTCCCAAAGTATCGTCAAGAAAGGCATATGTGGGAAGCTGCATGGCTTCATGTAGTGCGGCCGTACATTTTCGAAGTTAGTGGCGCTGGGTGTGCATGCATGTATCCGAGCTAAAGTACGCCAGGGCTTATTTTATCGACGGAAAGCTAGAGCACAATTCTGATTCTTAAGGTAGGTTAAGACAGGCTCAGAGTCGACCTTAGCGTACCAACATCTCGGTAGGTGCACAATTTAAAGCGGTTTTACCGCCTTTTACCCAGAGAACGCGCGTTGTCCAGGGCTGATCGCATCCATCTCTCGGGTCGTTTTTGCCCCTTCGCGCACTGAAAGCGAGCCAATTTTTCGGTCCCCATAATTATTGCGGAGACAATGTTTTTATCGCGTTACTTCCCTCTTGGGTTTCAACTCTATCCTGACACCTAGACCGGGAGTCAGATCCTGGCCACCCATCAACCCATAGAATCCTGGTGACATTTTAGCCCTGATGGAATAGCAACGACGGTGATGTCGGCTCTGGCCGCATTCTATTGTGTTGCTCTTCAGGCCTGAGCTTCCATCGCAGCCGCCGAGACCAGAAATCGGGCTCAGGCCGCCCGTCACCCTTTCATTCTCAGGCGACGACCATCAAGCTCACTACTTCGTTCCGGTCATCTTGACCGCGGAGTTCTTGGGAAATATTCCAGCGCTGAGGGCGCGATTGAGGGAGTCTGGATGGTAATTTAGGCTTATAGGTATGACCAGCTTGACTAAAAGCATTTGCAAAACGTTAAAAATCAGAGCACAATAACTGGCGCACAAACGTTTTGGCAACTGTGCTATGTCTTTATCTCAACACACCAATATCTCCCCGACCCAACTTAGATTAGACAATGACATTTTTCTCGCTTAGAAAATCTACTTTTTATTTGAGCTCAATTTTGCCCGTCCGGAGACGGATTTAAGCTGTGATAGTGAGTGATATAACGTTAGTGTCGTATGAGTTTATTTTTCATATGTTGCGTGGCTTACGCAGGTGCACTATCTGTCTTCATTCATTATAACAAACATTCAAAGAAAGACTGGGCGATAATTATTGGATAATCGACTTGAAGCTTAGCCTGTAGACCAGTGGACCCCATACAGCTTAACCAGTTCATGATGACTGTGATACTAGTTACGGCTCGGGCTTTTTAATGACTACAGCGAAAAGCATATACAAATTTGCTTCACTGCCATGAGCCTTCTATGAGCAAAAAATCAACTTGATTGGTGCGACAAAGATCTTAATTGATCGAATATAGCTGAACATATTGATCATCAAGGCCAAATTAAAAAATATGCTAGCATTTCTTTGTCACTGGGAATCGAAATTGCAAAGTAGCGACATCGCACTTCTATTTCAAATCCCCAACAAGGTCGAAGAACAACGATTAGAATTGGAAATACTGCACAAACGAATGCAACGTAGCCAGCACTGTTGCCATCAAAAAGGTTACGCCTCAGCGACTTCAATTTATTCCTGGGCTTACATACTATGCCAGATTTGGAAGAGTTCTCGGCTTGCTAAGGAGAGGCCCGTTAATTCAAATACCATTTGGACAACGTGCAAAACTCAAAAAACGTTTATTTGTGCTAGCCACGAAAAGATGGTACACATTGAGGGTACAGGAGCGCTCGAAGTCGAGCACGGTACCGATACATTGGGATTCCTTGTGGTACCAAAACTCGAGCTCGGAGAGCTGTCGTTGAGCAAGCTTACATTGTGTAGTGGCCGGAAATTCGACAACAAAGACGCCTGACGATCGAGTAATCGCGTCTTTCGCTTATGTAGCGGGATCTGCCGAGCGGAACCCGTACTCCACACGAGGGGATAAGACCGAACGTGGATACAAGCACATGAGAGCTGCCCTGTGAGCAGACTCCAATTGCTGCTCCTGTGCCTCATCGAGACGATTGGAAATAATACCACTTCCCCTGGAAGCCGAGAGGTCGGGGAACGGACACGGTGCCCGCAAGGTTTGAGCTGGTCTCACGACGTGTTGGCGCCCTCCATCCTCGTCTTCCCATGCTGGGAAAGATGAATCCGACTCGTAATCGACTTCCTTCAACTCCTCGACGAAGGAATCCGTCGCCCGGGGCGGGCGCGTTGTGTCACACCCAGTTGCCGAGGGCTTGGGATTTGCTTCTCGTGAAGTCGCGGGCGTACTATCCGGAGATGCACCCTGTGCAGAAGAAGGGCTTTGCTCGTGGGCGCCCTAACTACCGGCGAGGCTGGGTATTTTTGCGTGTCGTAGATACAGTGCTCATAGAGCGGATAATGTTAAAAGTGTTCTTAAGAACGTAAAGCTGTATCAGACATGCGAGCCTCGTATGAGGCGACCGTTAAATGTGAATTGAGGATACTTACAATTTTGATGGGGAGAGTGTAACGAGGTTGTACGTACTCTTGTATGAAAGGACGGGTCGGACAAGATGGTGTGACCGTACATAGGTGTGGATTACACATGCTGGCATAATCACACTGTGGTGTGGCTACACCGTAAAATTAAGCCACTAATTGCTAGAGGTAATACATATTTCAATATCAATTATATTTTACTATATTAATCAGGAATACAAAGGGTTTTAGATATTGACGGCTCTGCCGCAACTAAAACAGCTAAATACAGTTATGAGCGAAGAAAACATTAAGATTTTCTGTACACTTGGAGGCAGCGAATTGGGTTTCGCTGCACTAGACCTCGTATTTCTAAAGAGCGTAAGGTCGATGGCCGAAGCTTAGCTGCCTCTAAGCAAAAAACGCTACGGCAGCCTCGCTGCACCCCAGGTAAGAGGCATGACGTCTAATCAATAAGTTGATCGGCTGCAAATATCAACGTTCAATAGCGTCGATCAGGTACGAATACGCCAAACTGCTAAGACTAGTAGACAGTACGCGGAGGCATTGTAGCTACCATATATAGATACATAGTTTATGCAATTGTGATGGGTGCATTGGTAAAAGTCATTGCACCTTCAAACGAAGCCTGGATCCCTATCTAGCCTGGTTCCTAGACTCGATATATAATTTCAATCAAGACATGGAATTCTGGAAAATTACGGGACATGGGATTCCCTGCACTTCTTTCTTGAAGAGTATCTGCGTAACATGAATGACCTCTGTCAGGTAGACGAATCGCTTTTCGCGCGGGCACTAAGCTGCAGTAGATAATCTGTAAGACATTAGAAACCCCATTATCGATAGCAATAATTTTGCTACGTGCTTCTAGTATCGACCAAGTCTCGAGATGTGACGTAAATGGGCGATTTGATATCCTAGTCTTCAGATCGTATCTCCCTCAAGGTGAGCTACGATAAATATCTATCAAAGTCCACATAATTTATCATCGGCTAGGCAGTAAAGAGCAACTATGAGCTAATTTTATATCCTTCCGAGCCCTTGGAGTTAAAATGGGATTGTAAATTGTGTAGAAAGGATAAGCTATGAAAATATACGATTTATCCTTGTCATGGTGTGGTTGTACTGCTCGATCAGCAATACCGCTTGGCGGATCCATCGTCCGGGGTAATGAAGCTTCGTGTATAAGAGGCATAAAAATATTTTTTCCCGGGAACCGGATAGTCTGTAAAATATAAGTCTTCCTTCACTCCCCCCTGCTAAAGCATTAACGAGGCTGAAAATGATTCCGTCAAAAAGTCGTGGAACTTTTTTACGTTAATGGAGGATTATCCCGACGGGATACCGAGATCCTGTTTGAAGGTTATATCCAAATAGGATAGTGTGTCATGAAAATGACTAAAATCACGAAGCCAAATTTTTCGGTTCATGGCGATTGGCCTAACTCAGAGATGCGTTTGATGTAAGGGAAAGATCTTGGTATGAGCCAGAGGTCGTGCGCTGTACGCGGAGAAGAATGTGCTGCAAAATAACATGACAAGCTGCATCATTTTCTGTACTCTTGATCTGGTCGATGGTGAGTATCGACTGATGGTAATAGACAGTAATATCCCTCTCACGTGATACCTGCTCTGAGCGGGATGCTCTGTGGTGGCTGGAAATTTCGCAAGGACTGTCTTATGCATCAGCAATTTTCGATCGTCTGGTGACACAATTAATCTGACCGTATCGTACCTATGCTCAAACCAAGTTCGACAAGATGTTTGTGTAGAACATCAGAAGTTAGATAAGTATAATCACAGAAACACACATGAGTGGTGTTTGTACGAATGTGTTTAAAGAAGATATTTGTCGATCTAGACAAGTGTTCTTGAAGCCTAACAATAAGGCCTTTGAAGGCTTTATTGGAAAGCGGAATTAGCGGGCTGATTTTGCGCGGAGAAAGAATCTATTAGAATGGCCTTTAAAGTTCTTGTTATATTGACTTGACCCGGCCAACTACTTGCACAAAAACAGTGCCAAATATGCCGGCATGGCACGACCCTCACCACTTTTCTTACGACGAATGTCAAATATTGTGAGGTATCGGCAGAAGAAGAAGAGACGACTTTAAAGACTGTGATAGAAATCTTTGTGTGTACCCCGAGTCTGATTCTTTCGAATTGAATCGGCCACTTTACGCCGTCTGTGATCTGTGGTGCCTTAGCCTATGCAATGGCTGCGCTTTGCTCCAAGCAGATGCTAGTGGGCATGAAACAAGATTGCGTTCTCGTCCTGTCAGCTGAAGTCTGCCTAGAATAAAGCACATGCAACCATTCGCAGCGAAATATGGTTCATAAGGCTAAAGTGCACCTGCTTGACTTTAGTCCGCTTATGATTTTTTAAACCGCACAGCGATATCGTCACGACATCCCCAAAAGGAAATTTAAAATGATAAAACTTCTTTGCTAATGATATCTTAGTGGTTAGGTATATATACTCATGTGGTGGCGGATGTGCTCTCAGCACCGGCACTACTCGATAATAAACGGGCAGACCACATTCATATGCAACGAATTCCGGCTAGTGTGTATATTACGGCTGTTACCACTACCTGGTCATGTGTTCAAATTTTCCTCAGTCGGAAAACTCGCGAAAGCTTGAGGTTATACTGCAACAAGATCGCCCTGATGCCATAATAAAGGGCCCGATCGATCTTTACCTTTCTAAGAGAAGTGATAGGGTAGCCTGTCTAAGTGCACTTCCCACAAGCATGTAATGAGAGGTGAACAACTTTGCCAAGAAAACAGCCAGTAATGGTGGCTAACAGCTTCCTCTAGTAATCGAACGAGGTTTGTAGCATGAGAAATTTTGGTGGTGGGTCATCATCTCGACGTTCGCGTCGAGATCCAGGATTTGTAGCTAAAAATGAAATGACGCTCAAGGGTTTTGCTGAATCAGCAAAACCCTTGAGCGTCATATGCGCGAGCCTAGTCAAATACCCCCACAGCGTCACTTTCAACAGCTTCGTTTACTTAATGAACATTCCTCGTATGGATTACAGATTGCCCCAGACGCTGCTCATCATAGTGCAGACGATGCCCCCGAGTATTGATGAGCTGCGGATTGAGAATGCGCTGGCGGTGCGCCTTTCTCGCGCTTGTTTTGCGAAAGGCTCACAGTCATAGACGTGTCGGCTCTCTGTAACCGACAAGCACATTTGTCGGCTTAGAATACCGTAGTCACAACATGACTTGGGAAAAAGTCGTCACGATTATTCGCTTGCATCAAAGCAAGCTGGATTGTTCGAGCCACGTCTTCTGTTGGTTACGAAATAGTTATTGTCGTGGACTTTACAACGGAACATACCGCCGATAATCAAAGGCACTTGTGCAGCGGAGAGTAATCGCCTCCTCATTTTGAAACAAATAGTCCATGTATCGCCGGTTGAGGACGGGTATGTTTGGTCGCTGATCGGAGACCCACTGGGGACATTCCCATTGGTGAATGTCTTGGGTTTTTCACCGAGAATCACCTAAAAGAAGATCGGTAGTTTGGATTTAATCTATGGTTGCCAGTTAACCTAGGAACTCTTGATTGAAATTGCTCAGGAAAATGAGCACAATAAAGGTTTGAGATTGCGCGATTCCAAAAACAGTAGTTGTTTGGATAGCTTTGCAACGGACGCGCGAGTGCCGCGTAAACCAAGTACGATTGCACTTTAAGGCATGACAATTATTGTGGCGGCTTGGGTATGAGAAATATAATCGCATCGGAATAATCAGTTTGTATGCAGCGCAACTACGAATCATACCTCTCAAAGGTAATAACACGTTTGTATTAACTTACACACTCATGCTTATTTTGTGCTGATGCAAATGCTGGTAAATGGGTACTTCTCAAACAGTAGTTACCGTATTTTTGTAGAAGTCAAATTATAACAGTAAGCTGATTACTGTGGGTACCCCGCTTCAACCAATCAGCGTACAATTAAGCCTCTCTCCTTCAAATTTTTTAGTCCTCCGATATAAATCCAGTTAGAAAATCTGTACAGTACTTTTGCGGAAAGAAATGTAGAATATGAGAAATGAGCACAGTATTTTAGCGAATCACCATTTTCATCTTCTCAAATAACAAATTATAGCGAATCAACATGTAGTCCTGAACCACTGTTTAAAAGTACAGTCTGTTGTTTCTATGAACATTCCGTCATTCTTAGATTTGCCGATCGACCACAAACGACAACCAGTGAGAATGACTGCATTTAAGCTGCAGCCGATGCTGCTATTACCCATACTAGGACTTTTGGTGTCTATTACCAGTGCAGACGATGATGACGATAGCGATAATGTGTCTTTTCGTGGCTCCTCATCAAGCGAAGGCATTGTCAATGGCATATCGGACTCTATTCAAGTTGGCCCTAGCGTTGCTGCCGTCATTGCGATCATCGTTGGTGCTGCTATGACCACGTGTGGCTACAAACTTTTGCGTCCCACTATGTTTGCTTGTGGCTTTCTCGTGGGTGGGTTTTTCGTCTCAGCCATCGTATTGTACATTGTAGATGGCAAGTCTTACGAGCGCACGGCCTTCTGGATTGCATTTCTCATTGGTGGTCTCATTGTTGGGTCTCTTGTGGTGTTCATTTACAATGCGGGAGTGTTTCTCATTGGTGCAGCTGGTGGTGTTTTCTTGGCCACAATCTTCAATGCATCGTTTGGTTACCATATGTACCCGAATGACCCAACTACAGGATTGCTGATTTTGGCGATTGTGTTCGGTATTATATGTGGTCTTGTGGCATTCAAGGTCGAACGTCTTGCGATTATTGCGGCCACGGCGTTGGTTGGAGCGGTTGTGCTTGTCAATGGTGTCGGATACTTCATTGGAGACTTTCCACGGCTCGGGGCCATTGACGATTATCGCCACAAAGATCAAAAGGGTGACTATGTGTACGATATTCCGCAAGCGTGGTGGGGTTATCTTGCAGCAATGTTTGTAGTGTTTGTCTTGGGTCTATTCATTCAGATCAAGAAGACTGGACGCAGTTAAGTTGTTGCTTTATAAGCTATCATGTTAATATGCATAGAAGTGCGTAGCACATTTTGAACTTTTCACCATCTGACGTTTGTATGCGTCTCTCTTCTGCGTTGGTAAAATGTTGTTTTCTCATCCGAGGGCTTGTTACAAATTACAAAGTGAACTTCTTTGTTACAACGTTCCTTTACTCTATGCATATGTTGACGCTCGCTCTGTAGTTGAAAGCAAGAAAATGTATTCAAAACGAAACCTCTAAACCTTGAATGATATGATTGTGAGTTAGATGGTCTGTGTGGGAATAGCGCGAAGTGTTCACACTGCATTTGGCCTGCTTGCCTATTACAATATAACGACAACCTACGCTTTGTTTTCGACGTAATGTTGTAGCACATCGGTGATTTCGCGCAATTTGGATAGTTCTTGTCATCAACATTGACGAACACTCTACTACTTTTCACAATAGTCAGTACAAAAAATATCTATTGGATTATTTGCCACAAAAGCAAATAGCTTACAATTCTGAAGAATACTGTACTATCAAAGTATACAGTCAGGGAAAGGATAACTCGGGCTGCGTGTTTTATCTAATTGTTTCGTGCTTCTTTTTCTATATAATACAAATTATATTGCTCTGAATGCGTATAACTTACTAATATTGAACTGCACGATGTTTAAAGAGTTATCGGACTGTAGAAGGAGGCGTAGCGCACTTATACCGAGCAATAACATCTGATAATAGCTAACAATGAAACGTGGTTTTCCTCTTGAGGCGAGATAATATGACACGCAGCTTGTATATTGCCAAAACCGCGGATGTGTGGTCTTTCACTATATCAAGTGAAAGGGTTTGTGCAAACTATCTCAAAGGGAAGCACAAAATAAGCCAAGGGCGACTTGGCTATATTTTAATGAATAGCTTCTTACAGACAAAATTGGCAAGGCAGATTGTGCAACGCGCTATCAACCTGCCTGCAGGCTTGCTGCAAAGAGTTATATGCTGAGATGCCGAAGTCAGTACAATGGCATGTGACTCCTATTGAAATGCTGTCAATTTTTAAAATATAATGTATTTATCCTCATTACGACGATCTACATTTGTCGCACGCTAAACTGGAGTTTCTACACAGGATATTTCTTTTTCGACTAAGCTTTTGAAATTCCGTCCTTGAATATAAGCGACCATATCAGTGCTACGGCTGTTATAGCTTTGACCAGAATTGAATCCAGCTTTCAACGTCTTTATACAATGCTTACACATTGTATTTTGCGTACGAGCCACTGTCACCATGTGCTAGTTTGTAAGGACAAGATGATGCCTTAACAGGCACAACAGGCAACAGCGGGTCTAACAAAATTCACTTCAGCACTTTCGCTCATTGTAATCTTCAAAGGAGTTGCACACTAACTCTAGCTCATTAGTGTGAAACTATTGCTATAGTGAGCGTCAGAATAGCTCTGCTATGCGTTCGCGACCATTTAAAATAAGTTTTGCTTTACAATATTTGATGATATTGTCCCGTTCTTGCATACAAATTTTAGACCTTCCCGCAAAAGATCAAATTTGACCATCGGAATCAGATTTGTGACTGATGTGTCTGTCATTCGAAAATCTTCCACACGAGCCCGTCGATATGTCGTACAGGGGCGAGATTGTGCCTGTGGTCAAGTATATGATTAATGAACACGTTACATTGCTTGACAATACAAACCTTAAAACTGAAGAAGAGACCAAAGAATATTTCCACACGAAATATATAGGACTGTTCGCTCTATCTGGTGGATCATTAAGGTTTAAGACTGTGTAGGTATCAATATCTAACTGTATTTTCTGTAGTGGTGATCTGGACGACCATCTTTCAGGCTGAGTCTGTGCAGCATCTACAGGTATTTATTATCGTGCTACCGAAACCGTAAAATAGTGATCAATAGTAATTTACGTTTCTGAAGACGGCTGACAACTTTGTAAAACCATTTTTTGTTATGTGTTTCTGCCATGCTGCACCGGTGGGTACAAAATATTTGAAAGATTTGTCGAGAAAAGTATATCAGCCTGATACGTGTGTATGCAAGGTTTTATTGCTGCCCATCATCCTTATCTACTATCGCATCTGGGGTACATTGGAAGATCGCCAGGCTGGTTTTGACGCTGTGAGTGTGTTACAGCGTCATTCGATCGTCCCGTTGAATAAACTCGTGCGATTATCCGCGTTGCTTGGTGTTTTCTACCTCATTGCCGATTACTTTTGGTTTTCATCGCTTCAAAGCTTGTCAGTCGCTGCGGGGGCGGCCATTTTCAATAGTTCACCCCTCTTTGTGTATTGTTTCTCGATCTGCTTATTGAATGAGAAATTCGCCGTGAAAAAAGGGCTTGGTGTCTTATTGGCTTTTATTGGAGTGATGATGGTTGTTCTTTATCAAGGCGATGACAGTGCTGAAATTAAAAATTCTACCGTTGGAGGATTGATGATGCTGACGTCGGCAGTACTTAACGCGGGTTACACAGTAACCGTGGCTCTCACTGCTGGTGCAGAAATGAATGACACGTCGACTCTTATGATCATGATGGGCATGAGCGGGGTATTCACAATCCCAGCTTGGTTAATTGGCACAATTTTCTTTGCGTACAGTCCGTTTCAATCTCTCTATGAGCCGATTGGGTTCCCACCTACAACAAACGGAAATCTTATGCTCGCATCTGCAATTGTCATGTTCGCAACCAATTTCGTATTTTTTACGTTTGCTGTGTGCTGGACGTCTCCCCTCGAGACCAGTGTTGGATTTATGCTCACTATTCCCCTGTCGGGACTCATGGACACGTTAATGCACAACACAAATTTTTCATGGGAATGCATTGTCGGTTCAGCTTTGGTCATGGCAGGATTTTTTATGCTAGAAATTAGCGCCACCCATCCACCTCATGAAGAATCAACTAAAGAAACTCAGTGTGTCGAAGAAAGTCTAGTTGTGAGGCCTCAAAATATGCTATACAGCCGTATAGCCATCTAGAAACGTGGAAGCTGTTTTGTGCATCAGCGTGTGATTTTTTTACAGGTCAACCCGTGCCATCTTGATTATTGTAAGAAAGTTAATCGCACTTTTATACTAAGGAGACCACCATTGTTTATCTCATCCAGCTTTTTCTCGTTCCAAACGATCTAATCTTTACTAGGTTATCGAGGATTGCATACTCGCTTCTAAGAAAAACGATACCAGTTGAAAATCTGCTCACCAGGTTAAAAAGCCCACCGTAGCCTCTTTGTCTAGACGCACTAATGCGGTATTGTTTTCCTCAGCTTTTGAAACATTGTCAATCTAAGCTTCTTTATATGCTGGACATTCGCAATAGAATCAATCATATGTGTAGCAATCGTACTAACAATGACGAGAATCGATACTTATCAAATGTTATATACTAATGAAGTATCGCAATTTTAGAACTCGCCGTACTGCCTTTACGTACTAGGCACGAATTAAGTTTAGACGGTACGTAAACCCACCACATGGCATTACCTTTCGTTTAGGCACCGATCGTACCGGGATCGCTTATTACTTGCATGCGTAAGCGCAGCATATGACCAACTCCACATCACAACGTGCTACGTTTGGCGCAAGCGCAGCTTAAGTTAATGCTCAACCCGTTTCGCCGACGAGATAAACATGCGTCCAGCAGCGATTGTGCCGAGAAGCAGCTCCGCCGCAGTAACTTATTTCACCGACGCCGCCGTGAAGTCGCATTGCTTACACCAAACGACATAGTTGTCGTGCGCATTGTTCAGTCTTTAAAGAGCCCGATAGAGTACCGACGACAACGCCGCCGTGAAGGTTCTTGATCGCTATTACTTATCGACACACACAAGCGCAAAAGCTGCCTTCTATGTGTGTCCCAAAGTTCAAGTACAATTAAATCGCTTCGAATACCATTTAATCATATTGTGTCGATCTGCGCACGAGTTCGATTTGATTTGATTCAGTCATGACCCTGTCACCGTGGCGAAGGTTTAAACTGTCGGTCCAGAACAGACAACGGATGATTTCTCTGAAATCTTCAACTTGCGCCTCCCACAGTCTAGACCCCCTGGACAAATATATTGACAGACACAAATATAGCGTAAAAAACGAATTATGGTCATTTCGGCCTCGAATTCGCATTAAATCTCGCCGAAAATATCGAATTGGTTATAAGAAGAATTTCTCAGCAATTGTTCTTTGTTAATAATGGCTATTTTACTTATTTGGTATCATTTATTGTGACAACACGAAAGCATGACTGCCTATCATGATATTACAGCTAGGCGAGTCACTCATATCCGCACCATCAGTGAGCCACGAACATGTTGTAGCCCGCGTCGATTACGACAGAATTCAGCATCACCAATCCACAGTAGTTGCCGTTGCAATTGATTGGGAAAAATTGTCTATGCGATTGTGCCAAAAAAAGGATGTTGTACAGTAGTGTGATTAAGTCCACCTTGTTGCTACATCTATCAATTGTATTTGATGCTTATGTAGAAATAAGTTTAAATTATTGTTCGGTAGCTGATTTTACCACGTCATGCTTTATCAAGGCGGCGATTTCAAAGCTTCCAGTAAACTCAAGGATTTGATGTATAGAATTCCAAAATTGCCATGACTGTTAAAAAATATTGTTAACACAAAGTTGTGCAATATCTAATAATCCAATGGAGTTTGAGTAAGTCTGTCACTGACTTTGCACAGTGAATCAAATTCGCGAAGTCGCGCGTTTGCCTCTTCGGCCAAACGAGCCGCACATCTTTCGTCGACTTCACTTACTCTCTGAAGGACTCGTTACCTCGTATGTACAGGCGACAACATTTGTGCTGCACTAAGTAACTAGCGCTCACGGTCAATTATATACGCTGCGATAATAATGGGCGACGCTGATTAGTGAGCTAAGAAATGTTTTGTTTCGTTTGTATTTCTGATACTTGCGTGCTTCTTCTGTCATAATCAATAGGTGAGATATTTCTGGATTTTAATTTGACTGCATCATTTCTGTCGCGTGGTACGATCATATTATTTCTAGGTTTTCTTATTCGTCATGCGTTAAGACATTCAAGCGACCGTCTTTGAACTTGGAGTATACACATCACGTTATGACGAAGAGCACCTTAGAAATAATGTTTTAATTAGTTAAACAACAATCTATCTCTGTAATATCTGGACAAGCTTAAGCTGAACACTTCAGGACCTGGATGTCGAATCAATGTTGTCCGTGTGTCATCGATCATGGCATGTTCATGTAAAGATTACTCAATCAGATATTCTGTCCTTCTTTGTAGACAAAATAATTAAAACACCCAGAACGCTTACATACGAAGCACAAGTCCACAATTCTTTGCCTACATGTGTCGTCTGACCATTCACAATCATGATTACGACGCGATTCTAAATGGCCACCTCTATTGCACAAACACGTTTACAGCATTGATTAGTCTAGTACATGCCATCCTATGCACACTCGACGTCCCGTATCTGGCTTCAGGCTGAGATATGTATTAACAAAGCTTAATCTGTAAGCTTACGGAGACAAACTTATCACTTGACTTATTCAGTCTGTGGGCTGTTTACTCGCCACAATGCCACATTTTACTAGCACTGAAATAATAATTGGCATCATATACTGGCAGTTGGTCCAGTCTGTATTTGATTTTATTTGCTTCATTGGCTTTCCTTTTGTCCTGGTGTCCACATCCAGCACTTACAGTGCTTACATATACCTCACTTTCGACATCAAATATCGAGAGCAATTCGCTTAGAGATCCCACACGATTTTTGTCTTGATCAGGATAGAAAGAATCGCATGTCGCACGAACCACCGAGAACAGTTTCGTCTGACTAACATGCCATAAGCCTGCTCACCTGGTGCTGATAATCTAAACGGTAGACGAATTGATTACGACAGCAAACTCCATACTTTTACCTTAAAGTATGTCCTGCTTAGTGCCAGTATTCATCTTACATCTTCTCTTTGCAGATCGCATGATATAATACTTTAATCTTAATAAGTCAAATGTATCTTTAATCAAAGATTTTTGAATGGATATGCTAAATGCATAAGATACGCGGACAAACTTGATCATGCATGTCGGTATACAAAAATAGCAAGACTAGGTACTTTTTGTCCATTTGTCAACACGTATGCTTGTTTGTGCGACACTGTTGGCAAATTGATAAGCTTTTCCGGAATCTAACATTGTTCCTTAAAAGAAAATTGATGATGCTGTCAAAGTTAGAGTTGAGTAGAATTTCAACATTCTTACTGAATCTCGCGGAACTACCCGAGGGACTTTTTATAAACTGCCATAACCCACCACATGGTATCTTTCAGATTCAATTACAGTAACAATCCTGACCGTAATCGCTGACTTCTTGCCATGTGCAAGTGCAGCACAGTCATTGTAGTTTGGTATCATTTCACATCGTGCCCCACACAGCACAAGTACAGTCGTCGAAAAATGCGCAACCCGTTTCGTCGAAGAGAACAACGTGCATCCACCCGTTACGATTGTGCCGAAATGAAGGAGCGTCGCAGCAGCATCTTCCATCGACGTCGCAGCGAGATCGCATTGCTCACACCACGCGACACGGTTGTCACGCGTATCAGCGAAACCTCAAAAAGTTTATTGGAGAACCGACGACAACGCCGTCGCTACTTTTGGTAAAAGGCCGTGACGACTATTGTTTATGACATGCACAAGTGCAAGAGCTGCCGTTTCGTATCCAGTAAAGTTTCAAAATTGATAAATATATTGCGTTTTGTTTGACCTCGTTAAACCCTCACCTCAGCCATACTATGCTATATTTGTAACATTTAAAGCCAAGTCACCTTAGCTTAGGTAAATACGGGTTCAACTATCAACCTACAACAATGTTCAGTCAGCATCTCTTCGAGCATCCCGACCAGATGAGCGCTCACACGCTGTGCCAAACTGACGACGAATAGATTGGTATACTAGCACAATTTACATGCAAGTATAACATCCTTGTGTAATTATGTGTGACCAATCGAAATACTGCGCCGATGACGCCCTACATGCTTCATGAATAGTATTCTGTACGATCATCTTTCGGGCAACGTTCTCACATTCGATAAGCATCTCGACTGGTCGGTAGAATCTATCTTTACTATCGTTTAGAAGTGTTCTCATCCAAAACATGAGCACAACTTCTGGCACTTTAAACTACCATCGCATCTGTGGCATAGAAGATCGCCGCGTTTCTAGTCCCATTAGTCATCGTGTCGCAAAAGCTTGCGAAAACATTCGCACTTTTTGAATTTTGTTGTGTTTTAGCTTGAGAGTTGCTGTAGCACAAAGGTTTGTGAGTGCATCGATATATCCAAATATCGTGCTTTAAAGACTCTAAAGCATCGATCTACATCGTAAATAGTCAGCTGGGAAAGTCAGCTTATCGATGAAGATCCGGATATAAGATTTCACATATGATTGCCATATGGAAGCTACGAGCCTACTGTTCTGAATACTCCTTAAATTGCGTTTATTTAAATTTAAATTTTGTGGTCGTAATATGACTTTTTCTGACTAATTCTTGAGAGATATCTTTTTTTACCATGAAAATAAATGCCAGAAGATAATCACCCACACTGATCTTGTTCGACCATTTCCCTAAACATTGGTTCTGTGTGTAATATTGTATTTCTCAGGTGCAAATATAAGCAAATTATGGGTGAAGGTGGACGAAAAATACAGTGTCAGATGATTGCTGACAAGCAAGGCGCCAGACGGGAGCACATTTCTGTGCTGTCGACCATCTAAGCCTTTATTGGCTTGTTGGCGGTACAAACATAGTAGTACAGTGGGTATACTTCAAGTGCAGATGCTGTTACAGCGAATTCATTAAAATTCTGTTCCTGTTGAAGTTCGACAGTGGGCAAAGTTCGATAAATCCTTACACTTGGTCTCTTTTTTCGCACAAATCTACATGCAAACGCAGCGTCGTCATTGGTTTCATTCGAGGTACCGTAAGTTGACTGCTTACACTACAGTCTCTGCCCCGCAAATGCAAGAGCCACGACGTCAAATACGCAACGAAGAGAATTTTACATGTCTTGTCGTAAAGGATATAGGAGCGTCGTAGTAGCATCGTTCGGCAACGTCGCATTGCTCACGCCACATGACACGATTATCACGCGCATCTGCAAAGCTTACAGAGAGCATTCGAGTAACGACCACAACGCCTTCGGTAATTTTTGGTATAGCTATTATTTTCAACGGCATGCAACGAGTGAAAAAATTATCGCCCTGACGTTTATGGATTACTGTATTGATTTTTTGAATACCGCATTTTTATCTACCTCATTCGGGTACAAGGTTGAACTCGATCTCGTTGAACTGTACTTGTAACATAGATCTTTTGTTCCCATAGCTTTTGTGTATATTTCTGTGTTAAAGTTTCAATTGTCTGACCACTTGAACGACAAGATATACCAAGATTAGCTCAAACTCTCAACAAATATATATTTACGTGGAATACTCCTGACCACAGTAGCTCCGACATCACTTATTATCAATGCACATCAACAATTATGGCACTTCTGACTTCGACTTCGAATACTATAACAAATCGGAAAAATCTCACCGAAAACTTTCGTAGATTATAATATAAGTGATTGTCTTTGTTTCTGTTTGTGTTTCTGTGGTAGCTTAGTGATTATTCTCGTAGCATTATCTGCATGTGAATAATCATGCGAAGTGGTTAGTATGAGCGGCGAAAATCTAAATGTTTCAGGATACGTAGCACACCAGGCAAAAAGAAGGCACCACTCATCAATTTGCTCAGATCCAGCAAATAATCCATTAACAATGTAACGTACCTTTTGCCCGCTAAGACAATAATAAGCCTACAAAATGCGTCTTCTGAAATAGTCTCCACAATGGCACAGTCAGGCGATCGACATTTTTAAATTTATCGGCGTTTTAGGTACTGGCCACGACGTTCTGGCATACTGTCGTGCACATTCTTCCTTGCGCTATCTGCAATTTAGCTCATTTCTTTGCCGCGACTTTTATCGAAAATATAATTTTTAATCAGGTAAGATTGCTCACAAGGAAATTGTATATATTAGTCTTTTTATGTGTGTTTTCATTTTCTTACCCACCAAGACAATGGAAAAAGCTCGGAATGACTTCATACCTTGATATTTCTTGCGGCATATTAAGCCAAAACCTTCATCATCCTAGTAAGCACCAAGTCAAGTGTGGTATCTGCTATTCTTCTACGCGTAGTGTAGGCCACACTGTGTGGCACGATGTTAACCTACAACTTGGTCTAAGCATACGCTTCAATAGAAATTTTCAAAAGCACCTATTCAAACCTCATTCTTTCTCTTGACTAGAGTACATCACAAAACTCTGTTACAATGTCGATGATACTTTCGTACCAAGATTGCATCGCCCAGGTTAGTCAACGTATTTAACTTAGCAAATCTCATACACTCTAGTATAACTGTTTTTTATTCCAGGTAGATGAGTACCTTTTGTCTACATCAGTAAGTGACGATGAACCTGGAATGGCACTACACTGGAACGAGAAAGCACTTTTGCACTTTGTGAATGCTGCTAATGATGTTGACGACGATGTTGTCATGCCCGAATGGCTATCACAACCGCGTGGCAGCATCACACCTGACTCATTAGTTGAAGACATGATTGCACTCTTGGCGACAAAAGCCGGCGGGCGCTATGGATACGTATTGCTGGTTTCGAATAGTGTTGTACAATTTGGCCAACTCTGTAGCATGTTTGCCTACATTGAGAACAATGCTTTCGTACGCATGGCTGCAGAAAAGGCAGGAATAAGTGATACATCTACATTGGCCAAGGTCTTTTGTGTGACTAGCAGCAGCATAGCCACTGCTGTGCCTATGGAGTTTCCTCCACGCGACAATTTGAGTCGACGCCTCTTTGCGTGAGCATTGACATATAAACTTTATTAGTACATCTGTGTGAACGTCTTTCCTAACATGAATTAAGAGTGCGTACAAGATGTATGGCAATGGGTCGGTATGGAGGAGAAATCATCTTGGACTTGCTTCAGCTGACATTTTCTTCGATCCAGAAATGTGGAACTATAACTAACACTACTCCTCATTCATCACTGTTGGTAAAGTACTGTGTAACTGCCATACACACAGCAACGTCAGCGAAATTTGAGTTTCACTACCTCGCCGTGCGAATGGATCATCTGCAGAGAAGCGTTCGGAATTCATACTTGTCATTCAGTTTGCGTCTTTTATGGTCACACGCTTTCATGAGAGTTTCCCGATGATTCAATGAACAGGGAGAGCTGATATGATTCGAACAGTAGAGGTATTCGAATTTTAGTAAATCACAATTTTGGCCAGGGTTCTATACTTCCCAATGACAGAGATGGGAGTATCCAATTGGGAGTGCTTTCAGTTGTCAAAGTGATGCACCGCTCGAGTTTCACTGACTTTTGTATGTAAATTATATCACAGCTGGAACAGCGGATCTATTCACTTGCACATTGTAACTGTCTACCGCCAAGAGTGTCGTAAGTAGTGTCGTCAGCAGCAAGATATGACGTAGTTATAAAGCGCGGCTGCTTGCGATGCCGAATCAGTCAAGAGCGAAGGTATTGGTGGCCGTTATTTACCAATGATAACGTACAAGATAAACACGCGGCGGTCACATCGTCTGTTGGCATTTGTATTAAGCTCGTCTATCTGCTGCTGCAGTGAAAATGATGCAGAATTCTGGCTCTGCTGGAGGCAAGCTACTTCAGGCGAGATGGTGAAGATGGTAAAGCACTATGCTCATCCAATACCTCGCAGGATTCGTAGATTGCTTGCTTCACGACTAGTTTCAAGCATTCAGTTTTTAGAGCGTTCAAGTCTCATTTCGATTCTACTTATGTCGGCTCTAGATTGAGAGATGTATTGAAAGAGAGCACGACTTCTACTTATAACACCAAATATGTACCTTGATTCTACGTAGCCTGTTTCTCCTCTGCTCAAGCCTCGAACTAAATCTCTGGCCCTCTGTTCTCGTGTAGTTTGCTAAGGCGTTACAGAAACAAAATGAAAAGCCGATTGCACGAAACGCTACACGTTCTATGCGGAAAATGGAAAAGAGAAATGAAAGCTAAGCTGTTTATGGGAATATTGTTTCTATTGTTTTTCATTTCAAAGACGAAAAGTATTTAGCAATCAGCTTGATTAAAAGTCTCTTGTATTTTTATCACACGGCTATGTCTACTCGGCCCTGACTCATTGCTTCAACCCGCTAAGATATTTTTCTTGAATTTTTTCTGTTACGGATCGCCACGATGACTTAAGCTCTACATTTTGCAAAACAAATTTTAGAAGTGAATGAAATCGATATTTCTAATTGCTTGAATAATCATTCAGAATTCAGTATCACCCAAAGTAAAGTATATGGGGTCTCTTACACAGGTTTTACAATGAAATTCATGAGTGCATCTGAAATCCGAACCAATAATTATTTGATCTCTAGTCCTTCAGCTAATTATTGAGATCAGGTCGTTGCAGGCACTACCTCTATATTGATCTAAGTAAAGTCCTAGTATGATAAGTCGGGAATGTCTGCTGCTCTAGCAACTACCAGTCCATCGATATGTGTACTAGGCTAGGGTCCAGCAGGTTGTGGTCTAGACGAACCATTACTATTACGATTGCCACCATTGCCTCCTTGAGCGCGACTTCCATTCCAACTCCCATTGCGGCTTCCTCCACGTCGTCCTCGTCCGCGGCCACGGAAGTTACGACGGTTATTCAAACCTACAGCTCCAAATGTTTCCGTGTTTAGTTTCCTCTCCTCAGCGCCACTCATTCTAGAGCGTTGTCCTTCCAGTCGATCCAGAGCGTCACATGAAATTGTGTCAAAGAATGAAGATTTTTGATAGCTACCTGTCGGCTCCTTTGTGTTCTCCTCCAACTTACAAAACTCTTGCTTCTTGTCAAAATCATTAAGTCGCTCAGCAAAATTAAACTCTCCTGATGTAGCATCCGGACCAATGCCTGCAACATCAGCTCCTCCAGGAACACGACGTTCCTTACGTTTTAACAAGTGTCCACCCATACCGGGAATTGTACGAGCATTAGATGTCGAAGGCTGACGAGGTTGATTCTTCGTTTGAGTGCGCTCGTGATTTTGAGTGGAAGCGTGTGAATGACTTTGAGTTGGTTCTTGTGGTTGCATTGGCTGCTTTTGAGCCTCAGAAACCGACCCAGGAGTCAAAAGATTGGGCTTGGGCGTAGGTGTAGGAATGACAACTGGTGGTGGGGGACCAGTGGGTAATGGAGGCTGATCTGGAGGTTGTGGAGGATGAACAGGAGGCTGTGGAGGCTGAACAGGAGGCTGTGGAGGCTGAACAGGAGGCTGTGGAAGCTGAACAGGAGGCCGTGGAAGCTGAACAGGAGGCTGTGGAGGATGGGCGGGGAGCTGAGCGGACGGTTGTGGAGGTTGCGGTGCGGCTTCGCAAACATGGAGATCCTTGATCTCAGCAGCTTTAAAGGTTGCGTACTGCAGAACGTGCGGCGAAGGAGGCACATGCTCGACTCGTCGGCCCTCGGTCCCGAAAGAACGCACGTTTTGCAACGCAACGATACTCTGGCGGGTGTCAATATTGAAAAGAAAACCTTCATAGCGAATGTCTGTCTTAGAAATCAACGAGATACGCGAGCCCAAGTACGGGATGCCGTCACTGGGAGGCTTGCGTGGGAGTGGGGGCTGCTGCATTGACAAAAATGGATCGCTAGCCCAGTAATGGAAAATTAGAAACACCAGTTTTGTTAATGTGAAAAACTTTCAGATTTTGACAGTAGGATAATCAACAAAGTACAATTTTTCTGAATTTACTTTTATTTGCAAAGATCTTGATACTTTATCCCTTCAAAAGGTAAAGATCTGCATTGAAGGACAGTTTTAGCAGCAAAGGATTGCTAATTTGGGCTAGATCTATTCAGGCGGCCACCTTCTCAAGACCACCCTCGTCAATAATGCTGGCTCAATTTTGCCGAAGCGATAGTTGTCAAAAGAGAATTCATAGGGCGGTTAATGACTGAACAATCAAGACAGCACTGTAATCTCGCCGGTAAGAATCAGTGTCATCAGTGTCTGGCATCATGTTCTTACTCGCTCTTGAAATTTAGTCAGCTGAATCACTTTATCCCTCTACTGACTTTTACAGCTTTGAGTGATCAATTCTTTTTGTAAATCATCGAGCGACTTTTTGAGCATCATATCTTAATTTTGCTAATATGTCTACATGACGGTGAGATCATCGTTAAAGTAAATATGAAGAATAGGCTTGTACAATTGCTCGTCCATGTCAAATTGCTCAAACAAAGGCGTTTCGTCCACAATGCCGTTTTCTTCGAGCGTGCACTGCATTTTCAAAGGCACAAATCCATCACCCTCGAGATACTTCCACGTGTAACTTCCAGCGTGTGCATTAAAGTAAAGATATCGCTTCTGAATCTCAGAGATCGTTTCTTCGCAGCATACCTCGAGTGCATGTTGCTGTTGAGTAAGCATATTGACAATCTCAAGCCAGCGAGTCTTCTTAGTTAACCGTCCAATAATATACTTTGAATCACGCCACCATGGAACAAAATCTGTTGTACGCCATTGAGTGTTTGATATTGGTGGAGGCACGTGAAGAAACTGCCCATATGGGACAAAAGGTGTAAAGTCATTTCGCTCAGGATCTACGTAATATTTAATCTTTCGCCAACACTGATCATTTGAATGAATAAAGCGAACAATACTTGACTTTGCTACCTACATCATTTGTCTGTGGATCGAACCAGTGCGAAATATCCTCACCGGCGTGCTGTATGAGCGGCTGAACTAATACACCTACGAGTTTTCATGGAAACTCTCGCATTAAGCTTCATTTTCTTAACGATTTTTTTATTTAGTCCTAACCTGGATGATCGCTTATCAACGGAGTGATGTCAAACACACGATAGTGTATTGAAACCCAACAATCCTAATTGTATTGACAATCGATGAGAATCACCAAGGTCAATGCATTTACACGTATCTTAACGATGAAAGAGTTGTTACCTTGGCTAAGTTGTGAATCGCCACCTCGCGTGGTGTGAAATATTGAGGCCGTATTGCATGCAACTCATCATTCTCTGTCATGTTTGCTAGTGAGTACCAGAGTTCTACAGAAGCTGCTTCTATCTTTACGAACACCACGAACCGACAAACTACTATTTTCAAGACGACAGTTTCAAAGGCTTTTCATGGAAATGATAGTCAAAGCAGAAAATTTGTCGGAATTTTCAACACAAATTTTCAGTTTCGCTTGTCAACACGCCGAATATAGCACATTTGAATTTATAGTCCTGCTCACAATCTTTAAGTTGCTCATCACATTCCGCAAATGGACCTATTAGATGCAATTGAAAAGCTCGAGCAGCCCGCGAAGACTATTTCTGAGCGTAACGCAGACTTTCTGGAACATCAAGTATTGATTCTTCAGCAGCAACTACGTGATTACTGGCATCGAAAGTATGGTGATGATGTAACAATTCCCCGTATCTCATTTTATTGGGTCCTTTCGAAACTATTGCGACTTATTGAAGAGTATCCGGATGGTCTCACTGAGGCAATCATTGTCACTGAACTGACCAAATTGTTTGAGCGAAAGGTAGTTGGAGATACACAGCAACCAGCTGGGACATTCACAAAGAAGAGAAAGATTCGAGATGAGGAAGATATGGGTAATTTACTTACAGATGGAGAACAAAAGGCTCTGCAGGCTCAAGTAATAAGCTACGGAGACCATCGAGTGACTTTAGCACTGGACTATGCTACTGATGTGATTGCTCATATGTGAGTAGTGTTATTCAAAATGTTGCATGAATGTGACTGTGCTTAAGCGGATTGTACGCAGGTATTTGCACCAACGCTTTCGGTCGTGTATCAATTTTTTGAATCGTGAATTAAAGTATGAACCTACGAGGTCGGTACGTACAGAACAGTCGAACTAAAGGGTTACATAATATTAAGTTTTGTTAATATTTTAGGAAAACATATCCTTTTCAGGATGCACGTAAAGTTACATTCACCCATGGAAAGGTTCTGGAAAGGAAGGATGTCGAGATGGCAAGGGGTGAGTATGATGGCAACCAAGTCAAGTTTACCCTCTTACCAACTCCATATCTCATTGTTCAACTAAATGAAAAAAATCCATTGGATCGAAGATTATTGGCTGACTCAATGAGTCTGAATCAAGTAGATCAGTTGATCTGCAAAGCGCACGATTGTTTAGGAATACAGCAATTGATGCTCAAAGTGAAAGTACTAGATATTGGTGCCGTTCGTCCATGTCAGACACCACTGTACGTACACCGTCAGGTCATTTTATTCGGTGAAGTAGATCAATTGTCGATCGGAGTGAGATCAAACATGGATTCAAAAACGCAAGGGTTACACTTGATGGTGTTATGGGACGATCAAGTCGATCTTAGTCGTTTGTTTAATATTGGGGATACACTAGCGATCTTTCATCCTTTTGTACACGTTTGTGACCAACACGATACGGAGATTCAGTACATTTTGACTGACTATTCGTCACAACAACATCTTAATTACTACTTGGAATACGGCAGTGCCACCGTTTTATTCACATCACCCTGTCAAGTTGATGCGAATGAAGCTCTTACCGAAATGACAATCATTAATGCAAGTCATTGTGAGGCTGAGCAACCTTTGTCGCGATTGGAAGAGATTCGACCAGGATGGCGCAATTTCTCGCTCTATGCACATGTGAGACGTGTTATGGTCTCACACGGCATTCCACTACTCGCAGCGTTCTTTTACGCATATTATGATCCCAAGACGAACCAGTCGAGTTCAACAATGCAAGTTCTCGACCACTCGATCGTATCAAAGTACCATTTGGTTGTCATGTTACAAGTCTACACCGCTTCATCTTCAAAACACATGCTCTCGATCGAATTGACGGGTGATACTGCAATCAACGCTTTACGACTTTTACCAGGACAAAGCGTGTTCTTAGACGGACTTGTTGCGATTGATATCAAGTCGGAATCAGTGATGCGATTTCGTCATTATCAGTCTCTCGCTTCTACGTCGGCTGCATCAAGTGGCACAGAAGATTATGCATTTACAACAAACGCGTACACTTCAACCTCGTCTTCCAGTGTCGTTGTGCTGGGTTCAGAATGGGAAAATATATTTGGAAAACAATCTTTTCTTAACAATAGCTCCAAATTAACAATTGTCAATACCACGCCAGGACTTCTGAACACGTTATTGAAACAATCAACAGTTCTGTTCAATGCTTCAACACCTCCTTTGATGATCGCCGAAATGACGGTAACATCCATCGGTTGGCTGGTTTCTAGCAGAAATTCAAAAGATGTGAAATGGACGATTGATACAAGTTGTGAAAAGGGACAAGCGACAATGTATAGCCATAAATCGTGCTCTCGACCATTGGAGATGACGACAAACTATCAAAACACTTCAAAATCAATAAAGTGGAACTGTTCGTTTTGTCAAGAAGTTTTCTATGGATCAAAACAGATGCAGCACACGTTTCGTGAGCTGGTAGTATCTCTCGAGAATGGACGATCACAAATGTTTCCCATAATCGCATTGTGTCGAGGAGATACAATTGAAAATCTGCTTGGTCTTTCGTCAAGTGATTATGTACAACTTTCTTTAGAACAAAAGCGTTGGACGCTCAAACGTGTAGTAGGCCAGACATTTCGACTCGTGTTGTCTCGATGTGAATCACGTTACGTTACGATCTCCTTGTCATCATATTCAACAGATTCTCATCCTATTGAATCTTCTCAATGGATTGATATACGAATGGATATGGTCAAGCCTACGAATGCCTTTGCAGCAGCTCGTCGCTTGCTCTCAGAGCTGAAAACGTAATCGTACCCCATATACATATTCACACAAGCGTGTAACCAAGTTACAGATGGCTTCATAACATCCAGAATCAGATGGTACCGGTATTCGTATTTGATTTGGAATAAGTATACTTTCCTACAAATTCCCTGATGAGAAATACCCATCTTAAATACAAGCCCTCTCTCCTCTCCCCCTCACTTATTATCTCAGAGTTCACGCCATGGCGTCTCCGTCTGCGTCGTTAGCGGTCTCCGCACCTCATTACCAGCAGCATGAGGCTTTGCGTAAGATCCTACTACGTCGATCTATACGAATTTGGTCCTCAAAGTCTGCTCAGGAGCAGAGTGCAATGGCTGATAGTCTCTTCCAGCTCTTTTCGAGCGGAACGTCGTCTTCGACAGTCTCTAACTCGACAACTATCGCACTGAGACCAATAACACGTCGTCCAGGTGTCGAAGAGGTAAAGAATTGTGTCCTTACCAGCGTGTATTCGTGTCTTCCACCTCAATGCGACGGCCTTCGTAGTGAAATTTGGCAGATACTACTAAACGTGTATAAACGTAATCAGCATGGGTCCGCAGCTCAGGAATTTGACCGAATGCTACAAAGACTTGGAAAGCTTTCTCGAGACTCTCTCCTTGTCGATGAATGTGGTGAAATAGCTGAAATTCTCGAGCCGACAGATTCGAAAGCTCGAGAGAGAGTCCAACAAGAACTCGAAGTGTTGCTCATGTGGTTTCTTACGACGAAAAGTGTAGCATACTCTACGGGTATGGCTCGAGTCGTCGCTCCATTTTTTTTACTCAAAATGCCATTGCCTACTATCTATGACTGCTTTTATCAGTATTGTGCCCACTTTATGCCCCATTTTGTTGTTGCTGACACTTTGTTTGCCGACACACCAACCATAAATAATGTCGGTGGAGGACAAGGGAGTAATCGAGGTAGTTACAGTAGCAATGATGACGTATTTTCAGGACCAACCGGAACTTTGGAACGATCAAGTTCACTCTCATCGACTTCGTCTCTGGTTGAGGAGAGTAAACGACATCTGGAAGAAGAAGATGCCCAGTCTTTGCGTCGTGAGCGGCAACAATTGGTCGAGCAATTGCTCAGTTACCATGCGCCTCAACTTGGTCATTGTCTTAATCAATGGTGTGGGAATGAATGGAGCGTTGCGGGCAAGTTATTTGCTGCCGATTTCATCTTAGGCCATGTTTACCACGTCGTCCCGCCTGCTGCCTTTGTTTACGTCATGGACCAATATTTACTGACAGGTGATCCATTATTTGGTCTCTTTCTTGTCATTGCGGCTCTCATACAGCAAGAAGAAACTTTAACATCTTGTGAATCGGCCGATCAAGTGCAGGATCACATCCGTGCAACATTTGAGTTACAAGCTTTTGCTGACATTGAAAATGTTCGATATCTATGTCTTTCTGCCTCTCGTCTCCGTAGTAAAACACCCAAGACATACAAATGTTCCCAACGTGAAGGATTTGCGGACATTCGCTGCTCTTCTCGACGAGCGATGGAAATTGCGTTCAGTCCTAGTGTTTTGACGACGAAAAAGGTTCGAACGCAGTCTGGCAATAATAGTTTCAATGGTTCGCAAGTCAATGGATTTAATGTCGATCGAAAATCAACGGCAGAAGCTGCAGTGGATATGTCGCAATGGGTTATGAAAGAATCGCGGTCTATTGCTGGCAAGATCTTTTGGTATCATACGCAAACGGGAAAGACTCAGTGGGAACATCCAGCGGACAAACATGCATCTCCCTCTGCGTATTTTGCACTGCCTGTAAGTGTTGAAGAAGTTGGAGCTCAATTAATGGGTGGGAACGAAAAAATGGAAGGACAACAAAGTGTTGGTAGCAATACCCTTCGATTCTTTGTGGTGGACTGTCGAGGTTTGCGAAGTTCGGAAGATCTTAAGAGTGGTCGAATTCCAGTTGCTTACACTTTGGATCCTTCTGTTTTTGACTCACCTGAAATGATTGCAAAGAGCATGAAAGCTTTAGATCCGATGCGATCACAAGTTCATGTCGTGTTAGTGGGTCATGGTGTGGGTATGCCACCGGAACTTGTGACGTCAGAAGATGCCAAGACAAGCATTCGAGATGCTGTTCGCTTAGATATCGACTGTCTCAATCAAGCAGCTTTGTTTTTTCAAAAACGAAATTTTCGATTTGTTAGCACATTGGATGGTGGCTATTCGTCGTGGCATGCATTTATGCGCGATCGTGCGGGATCATCTCCATCAGAGCTTTTGAACCACGTTGCTACCGAGTGTGTCTACTGCCGGTACGATACGATTCTGCGCACAGGTGTGGATCCAACTAAGAAAAAGAGTAAAATAAAATGGCGACGCAAAACGAATATGCCAAAGACCACATCTATGCCTGTGAATGGAGGAGAAGGTGATGCTAGTATCGTCTCGACTAGCGATGTGAATCATGGACGTAGTCGTAGTACTGGCAGTCTTGGAGCATCTCGGCGTCAAAAGCTAACACTTTCTCGAAAATCAATTTCATCCATGAGGACCAAATTGTCAGAAGTTTCAATTCCAAAGAAATGGAATTGGAGGCGTCGATCTTCGGGATCAACGAGTACGGACGTCCTACATGATAGTGGATCGTCATCCGAGACGGCAACAGCTGAAGATGGTGGCAGTGATCACGGATCTTCGTCAGATGAGCATGAAGAAAAAGGTGATGAAGTGACGCATGAAATGCTGCGTGCTGCTCTGGAAGATCCTGAAGATTCGAGTATTGGAGTTGACTTGGACATAGAGGGATCAAAGGATACAAACTTTGTTGGAGTCTTTACAATTGACTATAGTGAAGACGAAGACGAGGACAACAGTGAAACCTTAACGACGAAAATTGACGAACATGCAATGACATGTTCGATCGAAGCTGTCGTTGGAGACGACGCAGAACCGACCGCATTGGCTTAAGGAATGCAAGAGTAGGATACGAATAAAGAGGAATGTTTGGGTGTAAGGTCCTTCATCTTGACAGCAGATATGCATCTTAGAACCCTTTAAGTGCGTGAACAAAGAACTTCATTTTGTTTTTCAAATAGAATGTTTCTTTCGAAGACAGCATTTAATAATTTGATCTTGTGATTGGCTAAGTCCTGCTTCTAATATCTCACCAATGAGATGAGATAATTCCATTACATTTATAATAGCTGAGTGAGACCTTCCACCATTTTGTCATGCCTGCCGTGTGCGAGGGCCTTTTGGCTAAGCTCGATGAGCTCATGGACTTTCTTTGCTTTGCTAAGCTTCTCAATGCAGAGTTTCGTGGTGTTGTACGTTTCAAGCTGCTAGAAATTACAATAAATTGCCGTCTGAGACATTGTGATGTCATCAGGTTACCTTTATGTTTCGAACTTCTTACCCGGACAAGAATAATATTGCATGCATACGGACAATTGATATGCGTCGAGGTTACAGAGTTTTATTTTATTTATGTGACGAGATTTGAAAGTTCTCATAGTTGCGTTTAATGCTTGCTTACGTAAAGGTTTGGAAGTGACTAAGAAGACTTTACACCCTCAGGACCCTTACTTGCCCAACGTGGCCGTAGTACACGTAAGTCTTGAAGATTTTCTATACATGTATTCAGGCAAGGCAACAACTAGTGAAATAGCTGGAATGGTTATGTCTGGTCGAGTGGCGGTACCCTGGAATAGTTACAGCAAGCTAAAGGCTTTTGCCGATTGTTTTGATTTTTCAACAAAAATGTGGGAAGCATACTATGCAGATATTGAAGCTCGTGGTTTTGCAGTAGAGAATGTGGAATGCAAACAAATGTGTTGTTTGCAGAGTAAGAAGGAAGATATTGAGGCGAATTGGCTTATGGTTTCCGACGCGACGATTTCGAGTGGAGGCGAGTGGGAGGTGGTGTCGGACTTGAAATTCTTAAACATTTCCAAGGAGCAACGTGAAGAGTTTGGAAAGAAGTTTGATCGAACGCCACTTGAGGAGTGGCTTTCGAAGTTGTGGAACGGCGATGAAGATCGGTCGAAAAACATACAGTCGGTTTCAGCGCTGAATTTCAATGTGAAGAATCCGCTTAGTGATCTTAAGTCGATGGCAGGTAGATTTTTCGTCTCACTGGAGGCGTAGTATCGGTATTGACGCAGAAAGATGCTATTTGTTTTTGAAACACGTGTAATTCTCCATGATCGCTATATTACAATCGTCATCAAAGCTTAATATCAGGTGACAACAGGCTTGAAACCGACTCGATAACTACTCATACAGTCATTAAAATATGGTACTACTGCTATTTAACAGACGTCCTGCTACTGCTTCCATTTTAAAGAATAGTTCAACAATCCTATGACAGTACAAGGCAAATCTGATAAATTAGATTTTGACACCTAAATGACGCTACACTCGACAACTTTTCGATGTTCACACCTATCGACATCTAGTTTTTGGTGAAAATCTGAATCTTTTTCACCGTAAAAGAAGCACTTGAATCTCCTTTCTTCTGCTCTTCAAGAACTAAACGAAAATTTTCAAAGAATGGGAAGCCGGATGTAGCGTCGTGCCCTCCGGCTGCGGCGCACGGTGACGTAGCATCTACGCCCCAGAAAAGATCGGCATTGTTGTAAATTCGAGAAGTAGCGGGGCCAGTGCCACCTGTAATGTCGTAAGTATCGACGTCATTGAGTTTACCACCTTTCGTAATAGCTGGGTTCTGAAATAGTTGAATATACTTTCCCGTGCTATCTGATCCCCAGACAGCAGCAATTGAATTCGATGCATCGTTCGAGAACTGGGCTGTACATCCAGATGTCATGGGCTGCGTATTTTTGTACCACTGACTCTTAACAGGACTTGCAGGACAGAAACATGGACTTCCGTCCTCGGTGGCTGGCCCCATGTGCATGGTCAATTGGCCATAGCTTGATACATCGGTGAAGCCACCAAAGCCACTGTGATCATATGCAGGGATATTGATAGCGTCCTGTGCGAACATTTCGAACAAGTCGAGCTCACCCCAGTACGGCCAGCCATTGCCTTTTCCAAATTGATCTTGAAGCTTGGTGTTGAGCATCCATATGTTTGTGTCACTCGTACTTGAACGCTCCCATTCAATGTACACAACCTTTTCACCACTCCATCCTTCTTTAGTTCTAATTGGTTCAGCGCTATTATCGGATGTCAAAGTGATACCACTACTGGTTATCATACTCGAAGGTAAGGCAGCACCACTAGCGTACTCCCACTTGGATGCGTCTGTCCAGTCAAAATCGACAATAGAGTAGGAAAGAACATTACCCGATGGGCTTGGCAAAGGAGTCTCCTCGGACGGTGGCGATGGGGCGAGTGACGGTGTTGGTGGTGGTGTTGGTGTCTGTTCCTGTGTCTGTGTCTGTGGTTCAGCTTCGATATCGATTTGTGTCTGTGGTGAAGTCAATGAAGCATCTGTCAAGTCAAAAGCATTGTTTTCGTTAATCTGGCAGCATGAGGATGAACAAGAAGAAGAGATATCACTTCTTACTGATTGTCACATTTTGCCCGAATGATACTTTGCCAACACCTTCTTCGGATCCGTTTGTGCTGAGTGAGCTCATTTTAAGACTCCCCACATCATTTGTCGATTCATTTTTAACAGACTCGCCATATTCGTCAGCAGTAGCATCTTTTACAAACTCATTCAATACTGGCTTCGAAATATCATCAGTATCATCAGAAGACGGGGTTACTGTGTCCTAGGATGTTAAAGCAAGAGTCAGCAATAGAAATCAGTTCCTCTTTTGCTTCATAATTTCACCTGCGCAGATTCCGTGTTGGCAGTCGACTTCGTACTTGTAGAAACACCAATTGAGATACCAATAATACCCAAAATCAGAAAGACAATAACAGCGTAAATAGGCTTCTTTCGGCGCTGCATTCGTGCCTTCAGCGTCTTAAGGTCGTCCTTTTCGTCTCGACTAGCGGACATTGGATTGACCTTCTCATCGATATTGCGCATGGTGCTCACGCCCGTGTAGTCATCTTGTACATTTGTCATGACTACGATCAGATTCGTTTATAAAAGGCTTTCTGAGCGATGAATTAAGCCCTAATCGATGAGAAAAGCTATAAGCCTGCTTTTGATCAGATGCATTGGTAAAGTGGTTGGCTGAGGTACAAGACGTCTGACTTCTACCCGCCTCAGCTTACTGAAATCAAGATGTCAAGTTCAGCATGGTTTGTATGTAATCCGGCTGTTAATACTTCAAAGCATGTTTCAAAAATATATTTCGTTCGTTGCCATTACACAGTATGCAATTATTATTCAATTTGCTATGGTCTCACGCTATTCGCGAAGTTTACCGCAGGTGCATAATTGAATTGGTGCTATGTGTGTAAGGCCGTGCAGTCCCTTCTGGATGTAAAAGCACGGGCGGCAGTTCGTAACTCATCCTTTACACCAGAAGAGGTTTATTCACGCTCACGTGTTCCAGATTACCAGCACCATACACTTCCGAGAATTGGGTTTCGTTTCGTTTCAAACAACAAAATCTGAGATCGCTCCGCGAAGGTCGTTGTCATCTTCAGGCAGTAACATAAACAAGGTGATTGTTACTAACGTGCGGTGTTAGTTGATTATATAAGAGATCCTAGATTGTAAGGGGTCCATTTTTAAGACAGCTGACTGAATTAATACGCGTCTTACGTACTTAGCCCTCGCCAAGCTTCTTTCCGACTGAATTTGCTTGATCACCGTTCATTTTTCTATCTGATTCTTACCGGGTCTCTTGACCCTGAAATCGAGCTAGATCAAAAGCTTATTACATCCTCTAATGGCCCTCGCCGCTTGAAACCCTGCAATATACTCCGCCCTCATCACCACATCGATTTGCTTCGTTTCATACATAGCTCGAATCCGTTTCCATAGTCATACAGCATACTGTCACATATTGTTAGCTACCGCGAAATCGGTTTCACTAGCTGCATGTTTCCTACGACAAGCAAATCCTTTGCAACATTTCCAGCCGTTCTTCTAGATGGTCAAGCTTGGGTTGTTCAATAAAGCGCATAAGGTCGAGTGCTTCGATAAAATCATTTTAATTTTCTAAACAGTAACGAAACTTTTGAGTAAAGCTTGTTCATTCGTCGTAATGAGCAGCGGCATGTCGTTGTGCAAGTTTTATCGAAAGTTAGTACCGTTCCCTATCTGTAGAGGTCCAGCCATGCTCTTTAGAAAGTGGCCTCTTGATCCGGCACATAGTCTATGTTGCTATTGGTAAGGTAAGAAATATGGTCACTTACAAAATCCTCGAAGCTTGCCATGTTCTTAAAAGCTTGTCAGCGGTTTTTACATGTGACCTGGTCACTAATTAATCGTCCAGGTTGATCCTCACCTCTTCGCTTATTTGGCAGCTTAGGCATTTCATGACTGCCAAAAGTCAATATAATTGCTCACAACCACTTAAGTCTTGTGTATTTGCGTCTGTCTTTACCATATGCACCCACCCATTATGTAAAGCGTGTTACCCCTTCAGCGGAAAAACAATGTTTCAAACGTTGATCGATTTCAGCAGCTACAGCTCCCCAGACATCACATTGGTTTGCTTGTCCTTTGTAATCTTCGCATTTCCTGGAAAATTTGGAAGTCAAATCATATTAACCATATTTGAGACTTCACATGCAAATGAGTTTGTCTTAAAGGTCTTAGATTGCTTTCTTGACTTCATTGTTTCTTTATTATTTCATACCTTTCATCCGGGATTTGATGGTGCACTTTCAAACCACAGCATCGTCCAATAGTCCTGATAATACGATTTTGTCACCGTTCAAAGATTCGAAATTCTCGACAATCGCAAATCTCCCTTTCAAAGATACAACTCTGTATCTTGTGTTCTCATAACGTTGGAATCTGAAAAGCGGCTCGCACTATTTCGTAGCTTAATAATTTGCAAAAGCTTGTAGAGTCTGGTAGTTTGTTGACTTGGCGATGATCGTGTCGCAGCTCAAAAAACGGCCCAAAATTCCAGTCTTTGTTTTCTGAACTCCATAAAAATAATATCACTGAACTGCATGTAAACTACCTTTCGCTATTGTTGTTGATTAGCCTGAAAAGTCAGATATGTCGATGACACATAGTTTGCACTCATAATAGACAGAGGTTTAGATATTTAAGCCATTATATTTAAGTATACATGCTATACATTACAAGCAAAAACAATTTTAAATTCCATCATCCACTTCACGATAATTGGTACGATTTTTCTATAATGGCTTATCGTTCAGAACGCTCTCGATTATAAAAGCTGCGACTCGTTGAGTCCAGGCTCGCAAATAAGATGATTGATTCGAAAGCCGTCTTTGGGACGCTGAAACGCGATATTTTTAAGTGCCAAATCCTCGCCACTGCCCAAGCTACAGCGTAATATGCTTAGTGCTGAATGAAAGTAGCTGCTCCTGCTTTATCAATTCCATGAGGCTGTCAGCCCACTTCTGTGTCTTACGGATCTCTTTTATTTAGTCCTAACGGTTAGCAATTGTTTATAGTACTAGAGCTTTAAAGTTTACAACGGAGCTAAAAAGCAGTACTTTTTAGCTTGATTTGAGACAGCGTCAAACAAAAGAATGCTAATCAACCTAGGTACGAATCGCGATTTA